AGCCCCCCCCGGGGCTGCTCTTGGACCTCCCCCACCCACCCTCCAACAGACCTCGCCGCTGATTGTTAATGACAGTGCCGGGGTCCAAAGTCACTGATGGGGCTGCAGGTAGGAGGCTTCCCCCTGCTGCCTCCGACCCTGCCCCAAGACCCGCTTTGAAAGTTAATTGAAACTGAGAGGGGGGAGTCTAGGGGAGCGATGTGGGTGGACCGTGAAAATAGTATTTATCCCTAGGCAAACCTTGAGGGGCTACTATTTATTACCAACACGCCGTGGAGTCTCATTGTCCTGACCACCAATTTACCCCTGGGCTGTCTGTCCCACCCAGCAATTCGCACCCACCGCACTCTGCCAGCCCAACCCATCCCAGCTGAGAACAAAGTTCCTTTGGCTCCTACGGTCCTCCTCTCCTCTTTCCATCTGAGCCGGACATTCCAGGCTCATACCTACCAACTCCTTCCTAAGCCAACCAGGTTCAGAATTCCTTCCCCTCTATCAGCTCAAACACATTCCCCTTCTTCTAGGATCCATTTTTCTCCGCACCCAGAAAAAAAATCCTTCCTAACCAGACCCCCATAGCTCTGAACCCTTCTCTTCCCAAATGCTCCTTCACCCCAGCTCAGACCTCCTCCTGTTTCAACTTGATCCTGCTCACACCACCCCTGCCCTCAAATTTTTGCTGCCCTAGATAAACTAAGCTAACTGTGTGGCTCCACACAGTCTGTTTTATCCCATATTTTACTTTTTATTGCTATTCAGTCTAACATTCAGGTACTAAAGCAGTTTTATATTAAGTATCCACTATGTCTGTGGTGTGTTAATTCTGCTCTTTCTTTCCTTTCCATCTTTCCTTCCCCTGCCACATACATCATTTTTGGTTTCCCTTTTTCCTCCCTTTTTTATGCCACTTTTTCTAATTCCGTCCTTCTTATTTATTTTCTTCTCTTCCATACTTTTCATTTTTAGCTTATTCTTGTCTAATTTGTGCTCTCGCTACCTACCAACTTTCTCTCGACCTGTCACATATACACTTCAGGTGCGTCTAGGCTGGCCGCGAGTATTTGCACAAGAACACTGACTTTGTACTGTACAAAATCAGTGGTTCTTGGGCAAATACTCCGACACTCCTGCTCAGGGATAAGCCCTCTTGCGCAAATATTCTTGCACAAGAGGGCCAGTGTAGACAGCCAAGTTAATTTTTTGCCCAAGAAAGCCTGATGGCTAAAATGGCCATCGGAGCTTTCTTACACAAGAGAGCGTCTACACTGGCACTGATGCTTTTGCGCAAAAGCAAATCTTTTGCACAAAGGCACATGCCAGTATAGATGCTCTCTTGCAGAAATACTTGTAACGGAAAAACTTTTCCGTTAAAAGTATTTGCGCAAAACCATGCCAGTTTAGACGCAGTCTTCTCCTTATGTACACTGTTGCCTTGAGCACCCTCATTAAGTTCTCTCTCATGCCTGTTCCCTAATCCAGTAGAATACATTGTCTATAATTATGTGGTGAGGATAAGCAGAAATAATAGACCTATTTTAAGGTCTTTATCCTGCCAGCATATATTTCATATCATTCTGTTCTGGGAAAAGGCCAACAGCCACACTTTCAAAAATAAGTACTGATTTCAAATTTTTTAGTTGTGGGTAACTGGTCCAAAACCCTTTGAGGATGATTTTTAGAAGTGCAGAACACCTGCAGCCCCAGTTATTTTCAGTGTATGCCCAAAGAGGCACTCACCTTGACTTGCTCCCATTACCTGGGCTCTGAATTAGCAGTATCACCTGTGCCTCTCCTCCCTTCCACTACAGATGTGGGAGTAATACTGCTAAATATCATAGGAAGGCAAAGGAAGAAATGTGTTTTTAAGAGACATGGAGGCAAAAGAGGTTATTTAAATTTATTTGTTCATATTTTTGCCACATTAGGCAACCACTCTATGTGACACTATAAGATCCAGAAACTTTGCCTTGCTTCCACTTTACTTTCTACTTAAACACCTTCCCAACTCAGAAACTCCTCTTTCTGCTGGTGTTGGAAAAGCAGAGGCAGTAGAAAGAAATTCTGACTGCAGAAAACATGTGCAGTGGGACCTATACTCTATCTACATGATATAATCAGAATTAGCAGCTACAGATGCTGGAATCCCAGCTCCACACCTGGTCCCTATGCTGACTGCAACTTAAATTAAAGTAGCAACAAGCCCACCAACTGTTCCCTACCTGTAGCCAGATATATTGTGGCCCCAAAGAATCTTGCAGTGTCCATAAATGGTACAGTAGCCACGCTGTAGATAATTTCCATATCCTACAAATCCCTAACAAAACAACTCCTGTCATGGGTGGACTACAATTTTAAAAACATATGCTGCCTGTCTCATTCAGACAGTGGTTAGTCAGAATTTCTAAAAATGACAGATAATTTTCTAACACAAAAATATTGAACTTAACACAGAGTAACTATTTTGGATATCATCATGATGGATAAAGATGAATTAATCATTGGATTGGAAGTTGGTGGTTGCCATTGGATATACACATATGAACCCACTTCATGGGCACAACCCTTAGGCTAAAAATCAGGCAACATAAACACTGTGGGTATATCTACATTACAGAGAAGATTGAAACTTCCACTGTCAATCTTCCAGGGTTTGAATTAGCTGGTCTAGTGAAGACACGATAATTCAAACTCAGAGGAGCGCTCCCGTCAATGCCAGTAGCACCACTTCCAGGAGGACTTCCTGCAGTGTGGACAGCCCCAAAAGTCAAGTTAAGGTACATAGCTGAAGTTGCGTATCTTAATTTGACCTTATCCCTGAATGTAGACATATCCTGTTTGCCACACTTTTGTGTACAAAAATCTTCCGCCCCCTAGGAGTGGCATTTGCTTTGTCTGCAGACAAAGCACTGTTTACTCTAGTAATTGTCCTGGTAAAGCTTTTGTCATGGGGGAGAGGGGTTGTTAAGTACCTGTGAACAACAAAACTTTCAGAGGGGCAGCCGAGTTATTCTGTAACAGGAAAAACTTAAAAAACAACAAATAGTCTAGTAGCATCTTAAAGACTAACAAAACATGTATATAGTATCATGAGCTTTTGTGGGCAAAACCCACTTCTTCAGATGACTGGAGTATTAGAAGTCCAAATCCAAGAATAAATTAGGGAAGGCGGGGGATGGAAAAAAAGAGAGAAAAGGGGCGGGGGAGGTGGGAGAGAGACAGTGAGTAGATGGTTCAAGTAGTTACAAGAGGCTGATAAGGACAAT